GGGTTTAGGTGGGACGGGCAGCAGTGGCTGGAGCCCTACGAAGACTTTGAACTGACAATCCCCTCCGAGTCGATGGGTGCAGCACTTCGTGCAGTTCAAAGCCGGTGAAGAGACACATCTCTTTTTCTGTCTCCTTTGTTTATTCTATTTGTCTATCTTGTTTATTTGTCTCCTTTGTTTATTATATTTGTCTCCTTTGTTTGTTTGTCTCCTTTGTTTATTTGTCTCCTTTGTTTATTTGTCTCCTTTGTTTATTTGTCTCCTTTGTTTATTTGTCTTCTTTTACTTCTCTGCTGTCTCCTCTCTTGTTTTATTTGTATGATGTATTACCTTTCTCTCTCAATCTTTATTGCTGCTGCATCTATGCAGCAGCAACAGCAGCAGCAACAGCAGCAGCAACAGCAGCAACAGCAGCAGCAGTTTGATATGTGCTTGATAACTCAGCATTATCTGCTTGTGCGTTGTTTGTTTTGCTGCTGCTGCTGCTGTTGCTGTTGCTGTTGCTGCTGCAGCCGTGGCACCGTCACCGAAGTAGTTGCAGGGGACCCTCCAACAGCAGCAGGCAGCAGCAGCAGCAGCAGCAGCAGCAGCATATTATATTTTCGTGTAGCAACTCGTTTTTCTTTTGGTTTAAAGGGTGTACTAATGGAGGCAACTAAAGGTGCTGCTTTACTCTGCTCTTCACCTGCTGGCTTTCATCCGTTAGTAGAGGGGGCCCCCCTCCCTGCTGCAGCAAAGGGGCCCCCTCCTGCAGCAGCAGCAGCAGCAGCAGCAGCAGGTGGAGGAGGAGGAGGAAGGGGAGATGATTTGGAAGAGGAGGAGGAGCAGCTGCTGCTGCAGCAGCAGCAGCAGCAGCAGCAGCGTATCCCGAAGGAAGGAGAGAAGCAGCAAACTTCTTCTCGCCCTGTTATATCAATAAAAAAACAAATAGAAGAAACTCAAGAAAGACAAAGAGGCTTCCTTGTTGCTGTTGAGGCGGGGCAAGCAACCGTTAAGGGAATTATGCATGCACAGGTCAGCTAGCTAGCTAGCTAGCTAGCTATTGATGTAGATAGGTAGCTAGCTAGTGAGGTATATATGTAGCTAGCTATTGAGATAGACAGGAAGGTAGCTAGCTAGCCACGTAGCTATCTACCTGTCTAGCTAGCTAGCTAACTAGCTCCACCATTGCTTTAGCTAGCTATATATGTGTGCTGAGAGAGTCGCAGAGGGGAGGGCAAACCTCAAAGCTCTCCGAGTTTGCTTCTGCTGCTTTGCATGCTGCTGCCACTAATGCTGCTGCTGCTGTTGCTGCTGCTGCTGCTGCTGCAGGAGCGAGGGGACGTGTTTGTGTCTCCTGGTGAAGAGGTGTATCCAGGGATGCTTGTGGGCTTGCACAAGAGGCCAAATGATTTGCCTGTAAGAAACAAACTCAGAGCTAGCTAGCTAGCTAGCTAGCTAGCTAGTTGGCTAGCTACTGGTTTCTTTCGCTAGCTAGCTAGCTGCCAGGCAATATGCCTAGCTGGCGAAGTTGTTCGCCTCCCTGCCAGCTAGCTAGCTATCTGGCTAGTCAGCTAGCTAGCTAGCTAGCTAGTTAGCTAGCTGCTAGTTGGCTAGCACGTTGGATCCTTGGCTAGCTAGCTAGCCAGCTAGCTATCCCTGAGTTAGTTAGTTAGCTAGCTAGCTAGCTAGCTGGTGCTGTATGTTGTTGTATGTACTTAGGTGAACATCTGCAAGGCGAAGAAACTCACAAACATGCGATCAGCAACTAAGAGCATCACAGAGGGCCTCGCGCCCCCAATGAAGATAAACTTAGACCTCGCTCTAGACCTTATTGGGGTATATATTATCTTACTCTTCCTCCTGCTGCTGCTGCTGCTGCTGCTGCGGCTGCTTGTGCTGCTGCTGCTGCTGCTGCTGCTGCTTGCGCTGCTGCTGCTGCTTGTGCTGTTGCTGCGGCTGCTTGTGCTGCTGCTGCTGCTGCTTGCACTGCTGCTGCGGCTGCTTGTGCTGCAGCTGTTGGTGCCTGTGCTGTTGTTGCTGCTGCTGCTTGTGCTGCTGCTCCGGCTGCAGTGTCTCTGCTCCTGAATGTTGTATCTGGCTGCTGCAGCCCGGGGAGGTGGTGGAGGTGACACCCAAAAATATTCGAATGGCCTTGCGCTCTGCTATGCGCTTTTAAAGCAGCAGCAGCAGCAGCAGCAGCAGCAGCAGCTGTTGCTGCTGCTGCAAGGGGCTCAATAGGGCCCCCTTGGGGGCCCCTGTTAACCCCTTCCTGCAGAAGGAGTTTGAAAGGGTTCTGGGGGGCCCCTAAGGTACTTTGTAGGAGGCCATAGGGGCAATAAGGTGCTATGGGGGGGCCCCCTGAGGGGGCCCTTCATGGGGGCCCCTTAAGAGGGTACTTTAGGAGGCCCCCTTCAAGTACCCTCTTAAGGGGCCCCCCCTAAGAGGGTACTTTAAGGGGGCCCCTTAAGAGGGTACTTTAGGAGGCCCCCTTCAAGTACCCTCTTAAGGGGCCCCCCCT